GGGTAAGTGCTGTGTAACTATCAACTATTATTGTTGTTGTAGTAATGAGTTAATAAAATAAAAAGTATAAAGGGCTTAGAACAGTGCCTAACACGTAGTAAACCCTATTATCCACTATTGAGAACATTCGTCCATTCACTCATCTAACCATTCAACAAATATTTACTGAGTGCCTTTTCTTCATTCTAGACCTGTGGCATCCAAAAGAAATGTAATGTAAACCATAAATGTGAGTCAAATACATAATTTAAACTTTCTGGCAATTCACATTAAGAAAAAGAAATAAGCAGAATTACTTTTAATGTTTTACTCCAATATCCAAAATATTACTTCATTATATAATCAATATAAAAAATTGAAACTTCTGGCCAAGATGGAGGAGTAGGTGGATATACTTTGTCTCTTCACACAACCAAAAGGAGAATGGCAACAAATTTTAAAAGAAAAAACAACCAGAACTGCCAGAAAATCTAACTATATGGAAGTCCAACAACCAAGGAGTTAAAGAAGAAACATTCATCCAGACCAGTAGGGGGGGCGGAGATGGGCAGCTGGGGTGGAAAGGATGTGCGGCAAGGCAGCAGCTGGTGAAGTGGGTGATCCCACATTTGTGGGCAGATAAACCAGGATGAACAACTGGGGCACGAGACAGACCACGCAACCCAGGGTTCCAGCGCTGGGAACATAAGCCTCAAAACCTCTGAATGAAAAAACTGTGGGGGTTGAGGCAGTGGGAAGAACTCCCAGCCTCACAGCACTATTGGAGAGACCCACAGTGTCCTAGAACATACACAAATCCAACTGCCCGGAATCAGCACCAGAAGGGCCCAATTTGCTTGTGGGTAGCAAAGGAAGTGACTGAAAAGCTGGCAGAGAGCAGAGCAAGCAACACTGTTCCCTCTCAAACCCCTTCCCCACATACAGCACCACAATTCAGCCAAGTGGGTTCTCCCACCCTGGCAAACACCTAAAGCTCTGCTGCTTACTACAAAGAGGTGCACTGAGACAAAAAAAAATATATATGGCCCAGATGAAAGAACAGATCAAAGCTCCAAAAAAAAAAAAAAATACAAACAAGCAATGAAGAGATAGCCAATCTATCAGATGCACAGTTCAAAACATTGGTAATCAGGATGCTCACATTGGTAATCAGGATGCTGACAGAAATGGTTGAGTATAGTCGCAAAATAGAGGGAAAAGTGAAGGCTGTGCAAAGTGAAATAAAGCAAAATGTACAGGGAACTAACAGCGATGGGAAGGAAACTGTAACTTGATTCAACGCTTTGGACGTGAAGGAAGAAATAAGCATTCAACCAGAACAGAATGAAGAAACAAGAATTCAAGAAAATGAGGAGAGGCTTAGGAACCCCCAGGACAACTTTAAACATTCCATCATCTGAATCATAGGGGTGCCAGAATGAGAAGAGGAGGAGCACAAAACGGAAACAAATTTCATTTCAACAAATAATGAAGAACTTCCCCAATCTGGCAAAGGAAATAGACTTCCAGGAAATCCAGGAAGCTCAGAGAGTCCCAAAGAAGTTGGACCCAAGAAACCACACACCAAGGCACATCATCATTACATTACCCAAGATTAAAGAACAGGAAAGTATCTTAAAAGTAGTAAGAGAAAAGGAGACAGTTACATACAAAGAAGTTCCCATCAGACTATCAGCTGATTTCTTAGAAGAAACCTTGCAGGCAAGAAAGGGCTGAAAAGAAGTATTCCAAGTCATGAAAGGCAAGGACCTACCTCCAAAATTACTCTAACCAGAGGAATTATCACAGAATGGAAGGGCAGGTAAAGTGCTTCCCAGATAAAGTCAAGTTAAAGGAGTTCATCATCACCAAGCCCTCATTATATGAAATGTTAAAGGGACTCATGTAAGAAAAAGAAGATCAAAACTATGAACAGTAAAATGACAACAAACTCACAACCATCAACAACTGAACCTAAAAAAAAAAACAAAAACAAAAATGAACTAAGCAAACAACCAAAACAGGAAGAGATTCCCAGAAATGGAGATCACATGGAGGGTCATCAGCAGGGAGGGTAGGAGGGAAAATGGGGGAAAAGGTACTGGGAATAAGAAGCATAAATGTTAGGTACAAAATAGACAGGGGGAGGTTAAGAATAACACAGGGACTTCCAGCCAGGATGGAGGCGTAGGTGGACACACTGTGCCTCCTCGCACAACTAAAATTAAGAACAAAAATTTAGAAACAAAAATTAACCAGAACATACAGAAAATTGAACGGTACAGAAGTCCGACAACCATTCACACAGACCAGTAAGAGGGGCAAAGTCGGAGGCCTGAGGAGAGGAGTCACAGCAGGAAAAAGCGGTGGCTGGCAGACCCAGGCACGCAGGGCGCAGGTGGCTGTTCACAGACCCCAGGCGTGCAAGTGTCAGCTAGCAGACTTCCAGGCATGGGGAAGCAACGAGCAGACCCAGTGAGGCGCACAAGACAGCTGGCTGTCCCCAGTCACACATTCGCACACAGAGAAACCAAGTGAAAAACAGGCAGCGAGATAGACCACACAACCCAGGGACCCAGCACCGGGAAATAAAGCCTAAAAGCACTGATTGAAAACACTCGTGGGGGTTGAGGTGCCAAAAGAGACTCCCAGCCTCACAGGAGAGCTCGCTGGAGAGACCCACAGGGTCCTAGAACATACACAAGCCCACCCACCCGGGGAACCAGAAGGGCCCAATTTGCTTGTGGGAAGCAGCAGAGGGGACTGAAATACGACAGAGAGTAGAGCAAGCGCCATTGTTCCCTCTCAGACCCCGCCCCCACATATAGCGTCACAACCCAGCCACTGGGTTGCCCCACCCTGGTGAACACCTAAGGCTCCACCCCTCATACATAACAGGTGTGACCAGACAAAAAAGAGAGAGAGCGAGCGAGAGATGGTGCAAATGGAAAAACAAATGAAAGCTCCAATACTTTTATGCGACCAAGAGATACGACCACAACCAATACTTTTAAGCGACCAAGAGATAGCCAACCTATCAGATGCACAGTTCAAAACACTGGTAATCAGGATGCTCACAGAATTGGTTGATTTTGGTCACAAATTAGATGAAAAAATGAAGGCTATGCTAAGTGAAATGAAGGAAATGCACAGGGAACCAATAGTGATGGGAAGGAAACTGGGACTCAAATCAATGGTGTGGACCAGAAGGAAGAAAGAAACAACCAAACAGAAAAGAATGAAGAAACAAGAATTCAAAAAAAATGAGGAGAGGCTTAGGAACCTCTAAGGAACCCAGGAACCTCTGAATTATAGGGATACCAGAAGGAAAAGAGGAAGAGCAACAAGTGGAAAAGTAATAATAAAGAAGAACTTCCCCAATCTGGCAAAGGAAATAGACTTCCAGGAAGTCCAGGAAGCTTGGAGAGTCCCAAAGAAGTTGGACCCAAGGAGGAACACACCAAGGCACATCATAATTACATTAGCCAAGATAAAAATGAAGGAGAGAATTTTAGAAGCAGCAAGAGATAAGGGGACAGTCTCCTACAAAGGAGTTCCCATCAGACTGTCAGCTGACTTCTCAAAAGAGACCGTGCAGGCAAGAAGGGGCTGGAAAGAAGTATTCTAAGCCATGAAAGGCAAGGACCTACATCCAAGATTGTTCTATCTAGCAAAGCTCTCATTTAGAATGGAAGGGAAGATAAAGTGCTTCCCAGATAAGGCCAAGTTAAAGGAGTTCATCATCACCAACCCCTCATTATATGAAATGTTAAAGGGACTTATCTAAGAAAAAGATAATAAAAAAATATGAACAGTAAAAAGACAGCAAACTCACAATTAATCACACCTAAAACAAAAGTAAACAAATAGAACAGGAACAGAACCACAGAAACGGAGATCACATGGAGGGTTAGCAACAGGGGAGTGGGAGGAGGAGAGAGGGGGAAAAAGGTATGGAGAATAAGTAGCATAGATGGTAGGGAAAAAATAGACAGAGGGCACGAATAGTATGGGAAATATAGAAGCTAAAGAACTTACGACACATGGACATGAACTAAAGGGGGGGAATGTGGGTGGGAGGGGGTGTGCAGGGTGGAGGGGAATGAAGGGGGGGATAGGACAACTGTAATAGCATAATCAATAAAATATATTTTTAAAAAAGAATAGTATGGGAAATGTAGAAGCCAAAGAACTTACATGTATGACCCATGGACATGAACTAAGGTGGGGGAATTCTGGGGAGAGGGAGTACAGGGTGAAGGGGAATAAAGAGGAGAAAACATGGGACAAGTGTAGTAGCATAATCAATAAAATATATCTAAAAGTTTGCGATTTTACTTTTTCATTCTAAATCTTTTTAATCTAGTGTGTACTTTGTGTATACAGCATATCTCAATTCAGACTAGCCATATTTCAACTGCTCAACAACCACATGTGACTAGTACTAGCATACAGTTCTTTACATTTAAGGTTAGAGAAAAAAGAGAAATGTCATCTTTGTCCCCAATCCCATCTCGCTAGTAATTATAGTGTTTTTTTAAGTTGAAAAGTCCTTTCACATTCATTATTTCATTTGATAGGAATATGTTTCACCTTGAAGGATGGATTAGATTCTAGGAGGTGGGGAAAATTCCCATCAAAAGGAAATAAATGAGCAGAAGTAACAAGGAAGGAAAACAAGGGGCCTATTATGAAATTAGAAGTCAAGGTAATAAACCTAAGAAAATGTATCAGAGAAGCCTTCAATAGTCTCCAGACCACAGAGGCTGGGTGTTATTTGTCAGACTGTGGGGAGAAACCAAAGGTTTAAGCTGGAAAGAGGTAAAATGGATTAAATGGGCAGCTAAATGTAGCATAAAAGGGAGAGAGAGAGGCTAGAGATAGTTCAGTAGGAAATCACTTTATTAAATCTCTGGTACTCAGAAGTTCCCTTCCTCTTTCCAACATTGTTATATACAAAATATAATTATTTCTGAAATGTAATTTTCATTTTAGTTAAGATTTAGTAATGTTTCTGATGAGTGAGACATGATAACTTAAAAAAAAAAGGCACAGTGGCAGCCATTAGGAAGGTTCCACACAGAAAGAACAGCAAGTACAAAGGCCTTGGGACAGCAAGGAGCTTGCCAAGATCAGGGAACAGAAAGTAACCCACTGGATGGTACAGAGTAAATACACATCAGCACATAGTATGTGGCCCATATTTAATGAATGACAGAAAGATAGCTTCTTACTCCTGTCATCTCTACGATGCTGGCATGTAGTTGATAAGAAACAGGCAGAGAAGATCTACTGTTGCTGCAAAAGAGCAGATAAAAAACACCAATCACATCTGGTGAACCAAGAGCATAAACATTGGTTTAAAGATGTGTCAACATAAGAAACCTACAAGCCTGTAGAGATTTTTTCTTGAGTTTATTTGAGGCAAACTGATGATAATTGCCAGGATGTAAAATCTCAACAGATTGAGAAAATGTTCTGGAGAATGGCAGTTTTCCTGCTTATTTTATACATTAGAATCAAAGAAAAAAGACACAAGGAGGGAGGGAAGTTACATGAAATGCACTGGTGGCAGATTAAGGGGGTGGGAGTAAGCAAAGCATGGAAATCTCTGGGTTTGGATAAAAAGTAAAACAAAGACACGCACTTCTTTTACTTTGATAAGTATAGGATACTGTAGTTAAATTTACAGCACACAGAGATTGTATGTGGGGAGAGTAAGGTAACAATGAGGGGTTCTGCAGTTTTCTACTGTGGTTTGGAGGCTGTGCCCTGAAGGGTCTGGAAAAAAGGGATTGATCTGACATTCCACGAGTATGCTACTGGAGATGCAAAAACAGTAAACAGGCTCTGTTAAGGTGAAGATACCTTTTCAAGGAAGATACTAGCCAAGGTCATGCCTACCCACTGTGACTTGCTTTTCTTGATAAGTTTTCATTTCAGACAATACTATGTAGTTGTAGGATAGTTAATAAACCAAGGCAGGGACGAGGCGGGAGACTGGTCTCACCTGTTGACTCAGCAGCCCTGAGCCAGGCCCAGTAAGAATGCCAGGTGTTCTGAACATCACAAGCAGGGATAGTGCAGAAGGGGAGTCCTTGAGACTCTGTTCTGGGAAAGGAAGCATCTGTGACAATTTCACTAAGACAAAGAGCCTTTACTACCTAAGCAAGCCTTTGTAGCCAGATATTATTCCCAAGACTTAGAAGGAGAAAGAAGGGGTACCTAAAAGTTGACTAAAGTATATAACCCCTGAACCCCAATAGTCACGGTACTCAAATTAGTCAGGTGCCCACTTGTAGCCTCGGCGCAATTACATAGAACAAACACTAACAATTTTATTTCCTCCATAAGTGGGGCATTCAGACTAGCCAGGTACCTGCTCGCAGATTCGTTTTTGGTATAGCTTCATAAATAAACTTGCTACCTCATTTCCACTATACGTGTTTGTCTCCGGTTTGAATTCATGTCTTGCAAGCAAGACAAGAACCCAGGATCAAGCTGGGGGTAGGGCCTTCCCCCTGACCTGGTCTGTAAGGTCCGTCACGCAGGCCTCCCCAGAGCTTGTCAGATTTAGCAGGCAGCCCCCTTTTCACCCACAAATAAATTCAATACACCGAGTGGGTACCTGTTTGCTATTTCCAAACTTAATAACAAGGCCCCTTACAGCCTCAGCACCACCACATCCTGAAATAGCACCGCTTCTGGAAAATTCTGAAGAACTTCCTTGTGCCAGCGGTTCTCCAAGCCACTACGCTGGCAGCCTTGCCTCCCCCAACCCTGGGCTACTCAAGACACTTTGGAAACTGCTTCTCTTCCTGAGGACGACACGAGGAAGTTCCGCCGACTCAAATCCTAATGGAGACAAAACACCCCTTATCTACAGGATCACCGCCAAACATCACATCCGGTCACCTACCCGTCAGCCTCCCTCTACCACGAGTCGCCGGCGTGACGAAGCAAAAACGCCAGTCGTGGGCGTACCTCCCGACAGCCAATGGGCTCTGCCCACTTCCCTCTCCCGTCACTGTGTAGTTTGCGGCGTTCAGGGGCGGGGCGTGCAGGTGGAGAAGGAAGTCGAAAGGGTTTAGGCCGCTCAGTTGCTCCGGAGGCGGGGAGGAAAGAGCAGGATGGTTTACATCTCGAATGGTGAGTTGGCAGAAGGGGAACGGCTGACCTAGGAGGCCGTATCTCGTGTTTTTTCCATCCTCTCCCACCCGTCCGCCAAGTGTGGCGTCCGTCACGAATTTCTTGACTTGGCGTCGCGCTGCCCCGTGGAGCGGGAGGCGAATTCGCCCGGGCCTGCGGCGCGTCAGCAGGTCCTCCACAAGCGGGTGGGCTAGGTCCGAGGTCTTCATAGTCCGTTGGGTTGGTGTCTGGCGTCCTTGTCTGATTGTGGGTCTCGCGAAAGTGCACTTTTCTCTCTGGCGTCTAAGTCCTTAACTAGTAAAAATAACAACATAAACACCATCTGCGTAGCGCTTAAGCTTCACTCACTGTTTTAGCGTTATTCACCTATCAACCTATCCAATCTTTATGTAACAGCCCTATTAGGATATTTTATTTTCCTTACTTTACGGATGGTGACTGAGCCGCAGATTAAATATATTGTCCAGCACGACAAAGGTGTTAATGGCTCATTCCGGATTCGCATTGAGGTTGGCCAACGTCAGCGTTCTTGTTGTTATTGCTGTTACCAAGTGTATTTTGCCTTTCTGTAACTTTGATCTAAGAGAATTAGCTACCCAGGAGATGAGGGTAGCTAGTCATATGTGGAGTTTTTGCCTTGATGTCAGGGGCACAAGAAGAAGCACCACTTTCTCTAGAGCAAGTTAATTTTTCTTGGAATAAAGAATCTGAGAAAATCTTAATTCAGTGACTCCACAAAGAAAATGACTGGAAAGAAAAGACAATATGACTGGGTCAGAACAATGCCAGCAATGCCTGGCCACCTGTTTGATTCAGATGAAAGAAATGCCTTACTGAAATCTTAACAAGTAGGTCTTGGATGACTGGAACTAGGTGCTGGTTCTGTTTGAATCATCTGTTTATCTTGAGAGATAGTTAAGTCAGTGTGAAGTCTGGCTGAGTGCACTTCTCATTTCTTTGCTCTTCAAATTCACTCTCCTGTCTCCCCCTTAAAACTTTTTGAAACAGGTAGGTTGATGGACACATACAAAAATCAAAGTTTTATCTTCATTTTGGCACTTGCAAACCTTGTGTTTTATCCATTGTAGCTAAGGCTGGCAGCTTCTATTTATGCATTAGTGAATGTTTCTTTATATTTGTAGTATCTTGTTGTACACGCATAATCATATTTGATCCACATAAATAACATTAAGGCCTTTAATTTCACTTTCATAGTTGAGAAATGCCAGTTGCATCAAGCAACTTATTTCCCTCTAAGAGTGTTGAGAGGGGAGGTTTCTGCCTTCAGAAACTAGGAGGGAAAGTGCAAAAAGCCAATTAGAATGATGCAAGTGCATGTAATAGTTGCTTTTGAATCACAAGAAGAATTGATGGGTTCCCATTAGCTCTATTTTCTTAGCAGGACTATATTTATCAGCACTTCATAGTTGACATAACATTTCTCTTCACTGCCTAGTAACTTCTTCCCAAACAATTTCATATGATTAGAGAAGGAAAATCTCACACTGGCCAACAAAGCAGAGCTAGTAAGAGGCAGAACCTATCACCCATGCTCTGTCTTTAAGTGTGGCCTTTTTTGCTCAGTAGCTGTATGTGTTAGATATACCTGAAAGTAAACTGGTCAAGGAAAGAGGAAAAGTAAAAAGCATGGAGAAGTCCTTGGGAAAATGAAGAGGAGAGGTAGTTGACAGATGGGTCTTTTTCCAAAATATTCTGACCTCTTGATTTTCAAGGCTGAAACCTACAGTACTAACTTTTCAGGTTGTAGCTTTTATTATTTAAAGTGGTCTGAAAGATAGACCCTTTTTTGCTTAATATAAAGCTGATGTCCATAGTTAGAATGTACAGCTTTTTACAGAAAAATAATGGTAATTTTAATGAACAAGTCAAGTTCTCTTCAGTACTTAAAGCACACAGACTCTTTGATTTTTAAAAATTTTATCATAATAATTGATTCTAAAGACCTGTAAGAGTATGTATAATCAGTCATTTTATAGAAAGAAGCTTTTCAAGTGGGAAGAAATAATTTGAACATTTTAGGAAAATGGAAGTGATATAAGCATTCTTTTCTATTCACCCATTTGTTTCCTCAGAATATTTTAATTAACAGATATTTGTACACCTGTGTTCATAGCAGCATTTTCATAGTAGGAACCCAAGTGTCCACCAGGAGATAAATGGATCAATAAAATGCAGCGCGCGCACGTGCATACACACACACACAGGAATATTAATCAGCTTTGAATAAAGCAGGAACTTTTGACACATGCTACAACATGGGTGAGCCTTGAAGACATTATCTAAGTGAAATAGCTGCTTATCAAGGTACAAATATTGTATGTTCTCATATGAGGTTCATAGCGCAAATTCATAGGGAAAGTAGAATGGTGATTCACAGGGGGCTCAGGGAAAGGGGAAAATGGGAAGTTAGTGTTTAATAGGTACAGAGTTTCAGTTGGGAACGATGAAAAAGTTCTGGAAATAGATGGTGTGATAGTTGTACAACAGTGTGAATATACTAAATGCCATACATAGATCTGTACATCTCAAAATAACCAAAATGGTAGATATTTTTGTATATATTATCACCACAGTAAAGAGAGAGAGAATACTTGAATGAAGTATCACCCACCAAAACTACAAACTGTAGGAAAGCATTTGGTATATTAAAGGAATGACCTCTAGATCAGAGAGCTTTACTTCCCTGAACACTCTCTTAGAATGGTGTGCACATAGCAGGTCTCTCCTTTTTGTTTACTATTTAGAACAATGGACAAGTTGAAAACTGAATCTGGGATTGTTACTTGATAAATGTAACTCATCCTGTGTCAGGGATTTGTAGCACTAATTTTCTTTATTTCTGTCTGTAGGACAAGTGTTGGACAGCCGGAGTCAGTCCCCATGGAGATTATCTTTGATAACAGATTTCTTCTGGGGAATAGCTGAATTTGTCATTTTGTTGTAAGTATAGTAGTGCTCTTAATAGCCCTGGCTGGCACTTAAATTGCCTGAAGTACATTAGGTACATTATGTTGCCTATCTTAAACTAGCTGAGCTTTCCTGAGTAGTTTTCAATTTTAATTTTTTAAAATCAATAGCTATACTAAGAGAAATGAAGACTTCTGTAGTGATAAAGCTGTCACCAGCCATCTTATGGTTGTGAATATGATAGTTAAGTTGGTAAGCTTGACCATACCTTCATCTTGGTGATAATCATATCAACCTGCAGCTGCGGAGCCAGGCCTGCCCATTCTAATGCCAAATGACAGTGCCTCACTTGCTGTGTTATTCTCAGCTTTAGTGTATATGTGCAAATTTTATTGAATATTATACAGCAAGTAAACAAAGGGAATTAGATCTTGATTAAGAAAAGTGTTTTGTTTTTTATTTTTAATGAAGGGCTAGAATCAATACAAAGGAGACAAAAATTTAAACTTCATAATTTTAAGTAGTTGTTAGTTAAATGTATTTTTTGGTCTTTCACCTGCTATTTGTTTTATGAAAATTGTTCATCAACTACTAACAAGTCTTATCCTAAGTTTGAATATATATTTGAGTGTCTCATGGATAGGAACTATAGGGATACAGTGATATAGAAGATAGTCCTTTTATTGACTTCACTATCAGTAAATATCTTTATATTTTAAGAGGCAATGGGTGGGCATGATTGTGGCAGGTGGAAATCAGAAGAAGTTATTCCAGGTGGAAGAAACACAGAGAAGGTAGCAGAGGTGTTTGACTATCAGCCTGTGTTCTTTATACTTAATTTGATTATTGCTGTGGTTTAGAAAGATTAATCTGATGGCTGCATGTGGCATAAATTAGAAAAGGTAAAATGGAAGAGAGCTCCACAGGGGACAAGAGAGGTCTGAAGTTAAGGCACCCAGTGCAGGACTTTACAGTTTTACAAATTTTACCAACTCTGTATTGTTCATTAAAATACTGTTTTAACTTCATTAAATTCTTCCTCCTTCACAAATAAAATTCATTTAAATGGATTCCCAGAAGGTCTGTGCCTCTGACACACCACCCTCAGCCCCTCCCTTTCCAAGGTAATGTTAGTTAGGTAGGCTACTGGGACCTGAAAGCTGATATAAAGTAAAGGAAAAAAGTTGGGATGACTGTCATGAAGAGTTATCTGCAAGTAAGAAAGGTAAGGAAAGGCGGCTTTGGCACAGAACATAGCACACTCTGTTTAGACATGTGCTTACTTTAGATGGTGTTGTCCAGATGGCTGAGAGAAATGTAGGTTTGGAGCTAAATCAGTTCAGCTGTTCTCTCCCCAGAAATGATAGTTGAAACCATGAAATGCATTTTATACTATTGAAAGTGGTTCTTCTGTTGTTTTCTGCCCCTTGTTTCAGTTTCAAAACTCTGCTTCAACAAGATGTGAAAAAGAAAAGAGGCTACGGAAACTCATCTGATTCCAGATATGATGATGGAAGAGGGTATAGTTTTTTTTTGTTTGTTTGTTTGTTTTTAATTTTTACAGAGGGGAAGGGAGGGAGAAAGAGAGGGAGAGAAACATCAATATGTGGTTGCCTTTTGCACACCCCCTACTGGAGACCTGGCCCACAACCCAGGCATGTGCCCCGACTGGGAATCGAACCAGCCGCCCCCTGGTTCATAGGCTGGCACTCAATCCACTGAGCCACACTAGCCAGGGCAAGTATAGCTTTTTAAATTGAAGTGTTTAACC